CTTATTCTCCATTCTCTCCGTCCCCTCGACAATTACGAAGAACAATATATATTACAACGAGAATTGAGGAGGTCCTTCGTAATCATAGCCTCCCCGCGAGTTCGCCGTTATATTTTTTATTGTTTCTCGAGTGGCGGTGTTTCAGTGCAAGTGATTCAAAATACCCGGGATAATGAACTCGTATTTTGAGCAGACTGCGGGTGGCTTCTACGGAAGCCACCACCATCAGACAGGAGCCGCCAGTCAACATCATGACCCGGCCACGGCAGCCGCCTATCGAAGTTTCCCTCTCGGCCTGGGTATGTCACCTTACGCGTCCACTCAGCACCATCATCACACCTCCTCGTCGTTGGGCATACACCCGGGCGGAGGGACGAACACGAGGCCACCTCAAGATTCACCGTACGACGCGAGCGTCGCGACGGCCTGCAAACTTTATTCGACGACACCCGAGGCAACCGGACACACGACATCCTCGTATTCGACCACAGCGACCAAGGACTGTAAGCAACAAGATCAAGCATCGGCGCATCAGAATGGTTACGCTGCGGTGATGGCAGCTGCGGCCGTCAAGGACGTTTGGCAGTCAGCGACCTCGGGAGCGAACAGTCAGAGCAATTCGGTGGTTCGCCCATCGGCGTGCACCCCAGAAGGGACGAGGGTTGGTAGCTACGGTGGTCTCGTAGGCGGCGATCCAGCATCGAGTCCCGGTAACAACAGTTCCTCGAGGTCCCTCACGTCGTCCTGGAACACCTGCAGTTTGAACTCGTCCGCGAGCCAACCGGTTGCCACGCAACTACATCAGCAACCCACCAACCATACGTTCTACCCCTGGATGGCTATAGCAGGTGAGTTTACATTCATAAGATAGATCTCTCTCCCTCTCTCTCGTACAACGATTATCATAACAGCCGTGATGAAATATAGAAGCGAGCACACACGATGATGCTTAGGGGAGAGAGAGAGAGAGAGAGAGAGAGAGAGAGAGAGAGAGAGAGAGAGAGAGAGAGAGAGAGAGAGAGAGAGAG